TCGCCGTTGGGACTTTAGAAAAAAAAGACAAATACTTTTTAACAAATTGATGCCATGATGCCGCGAGTCTGTCTGTAACAGATCACAGGTGACCTCAAAATGAGGTAAGAACAGGAAGGTGGCATACGAGGCGCAGCAAAGCGTGCCCCTGAAAATCTTATGAAAAGAATTTACCTTCTTAAACACAAAAGGTTCTTCATCATAGACTGGGTTGATAGTGTTATTTGGCACTATCTTAGTCTTGTATTTTCTTCTGACAGTGTCCGCTGGTAAACCATACATGTCTACTTCAACATATGTGCCAACTTTCTTTTCTGTAAGCCACTGTCCAGAGATAACCTAAAATGAGAACAAAGAAATGAGTCACACGCCATGGGCAGTCCTTTTCAAGTGATTTTTCAGAAGGTTGCTGGGATAAGCACCAAGTAACGGAATGTATGGAGCCCGGAATCCCTTTTTATTTTCTCTATCTTTTAAAAATCCCCTTTTAGTCTTGGTTTAAGGTTACCGTCCACCTTCAGGGGTGTCTCGCGTGCAAGCGATGTAGCGCGCCCGGTTTAAACCGTAGATATCTAAACCCCTATATCAAATTAAAGCTTATATGGATATATCAACAAAGTTGAAATGGTAAATTGGCCACCGTAACGATTACAAAAGCTGACGTTTCGAGCGTTAGTTCTTCGTCGGAGCTCCGACGAAGGGCTAACGCTCGAAACGTCAGCTTTTGTAATCGTTACGGTCCGACGAAGAACTAACGCTCGAAACGTCAGCTTTTGTAATCGTTACGGTGGCCAATTTACCATTTCAACTTTGTTGATATATCCATATAAGCTTTAATTTGATATAGGGGTTTAGATATCTACGGTTTAAACCGGGCGCGCTACATCGCTTGCACGCGAGACACCCCTGAAGGTGGACGGTAACCTTAAACCAAGACTAAAAGGGGATTTTTAAAAGATAGAGAAAATAAAAAGGGATTCCGGGCTCCATACATTCCGTTACTTGGTGCTTATCCCAGCAACCTTCTGAAAAATCACTTGAAAAGGACTGCCCATGGCGTGTGACTCATTTCTTTGTTCTCATTTTAGGTTATCTCTGGACAGTGGCTTACAGAAAAGAAAGTTGGCACATATGTTGAAGTAGACATGTATGGTTTACCAGCGGACACTGTCAGAAGAAAATACAAGACTAAGATAGTGCCAAATAACACTATCAACCCAGTCTATGATGAAGAACCTTTTGTGTTTAAGAAGGTAAATTCTTTTCATAAGATTTTCAGGGGCACGCTTTGCTGCGCCTCGTATGCCACCTTCCTGTTCTTACCTCATTTTGAGGTCACCTGTGATCTGTTACAGACAGACTCGCGGCACCATGGCATCAATTTGTTAAAAAGTATTTGTCTTTTTTTTCTAAAGTCCCAACGGCGAGGTCGTAAACACTTCGTTTATCTTTCAGGTTGTCTTACCCAGCTTAGCAGTTTTAAGAATAGCAGTTTATGAAGAGAGCGGGAAACTCATCGGCCAAAGAATACTGCCAGTAGTTGGTCTCAGTCCAGGTGAGTTTCTGAGTAAATTGAAACTTGAATAAAATTATCATATTTCTATCTCTATGAACTGAAAACATTCCTCTGAATGTGACGAGTTAAGTAGTAGTAAGAGCAATTTTCAATTAAGTGTCGTAAATAATGCGAGTTTGTTTTGGCCTTGCTTTATTTTGTTGTGCGATTGGTCCAGAAAGCTGGCGTCACTTCCTCAACTGATCAGATTCGAACTTGAAACCAATCGCGACTTATGCACTCCTGTTTTCGCGCCCTTTAGGCAATTGGCGTGTTTTTACTTCGAGTTCTCATCGGCTCACCGTGATATTTTCCTTCCTTTGATTGGCAGAAAACTCGCGCTACTTTCCCGACCAATCAGATTCAAAACTAAAACCAATCGCAAGTTATTCACTCCTGTTTTCCCACGCTTTAGGCAGTTGGCTTGTTTTTACTTCGAGTTCTCATTGGCTCCCCGTGACATTTTTCTTGCTTTGATTGGCTGTTGTGATTTCTTTGGCTACGGTTTGACGAAACTTAATCGGAAAGCTCTCTGAAGTAATGTCATCTTCGTTATTACTGATGTTTTAAATGCATATAAAGAGAAATATTACACTGGTTGCAGTCAAAAGCGAAGACAGTAAAATAAGCTAGTAACAAACTTTATTACATCCATTTTGAAATCACTGGAGGTCCCTGTAATCTGATTTGCTCTAATTAGTGCGATTTATTCACCAATCGCACTATTTTTTGCTATAAATCGCATCATTTTACGCTTGACTGAGTTTTTGACACATGACGTCAAAGCATAGTTAGTCAAAGTCTAGCTGTTTTTCATACACAATAAGATGTAAAGCGTTTCCGGTTCCGCTTTTTATTAAAAAACCGGCTCAGTACTGCATCAATAAAATATTTGAATTGACCAAGTCCTGTATTAGGGCGATTTCAAAATGGATGTAATAGAGTAATTGAACCTTGTGTCGTGCAATTTTGGTCTGAAAACATATATGGGTTTTTTTAAATCACGCGTATGATTTCAGCCCAAATTGCACTCCACTCAGTTCAATTACCATTATTTATCGGAAATGTGTGTTGTTTTAAATTCTAACAGGAAAAGCATTTTATATTTTTAATTGACAGGTTATCGTCATATCAAGCTACGTAATGAATCTAATCAACCGCTTTGTCTCCCAACATTATTCGTGCACATTGTTACGAAGGACTATGTTCCATCTGGATTTGAAGGTGTGTTCTAAATTTTTAACTGCTTTCCAGGCCCAAAAGAGGATTATACATGAACCAGCACAGCGGTCAAACGTCAGGCATGCGCGAGGAGATCAATTCTAGCTGGCTGCGTGCCAATTTCCCGCGCAAAATTTCACAAAGGAAAATACCAATTGAATATATCAATTGAGTTTCGAAAGTAATCCAAGATTGCCGTTTGCTTTTGCTTAACTTCGCTCTGTGACTGGTCTAAAAAACTCGCGCCAATCAGATGCAAAACTAAAACCAATCGCGAATTGGTCGCCAGCGTTTTCCCGCGCTTTGGGCGTTGTGCTTTGAGGATTCATTGGTTCCTATGGGTATTTTCCTTTCTTCTGATTAGCCGTTGTGATAGGAGTAGGCTATGATGAGAGTGCCAACGTAGTGGGCCATGTGAACCCGTCGTTCGCCTACATTGTGTATTAGATTGAGGAAATTCCTCTACCCGCGGTGTTATTACAAAAACAACCTTTTGCTTCAGCCTTTCTCAGCATAATTGTATATTTTGGCTCGTTCAAAGCTGTTTGATCAGATACTGTTAACCAACAGGTGAACAATTTCTTTACAGATTTCGCAAATGCTTTGTGTGACCCTATTGCATATCATCAAGAAGAGAAAAGACAACAACAGTTGCAGTCTTTGTTGGATGAAGAAGAAGTGGAGGAGGTAGGGATTTGAAACATGGAATACTCTTAGACTGGAGTGACAGGGTCAAACTCTTTAAGTTAAGCTTTGGGCAGGGGTATTCCAGTCTGGATTTTTTCAATGAGTTCTTCACACCAACTTGTCTGGGAACGTTGACGAATGTACATGTGAAGGTACATGCAATTGTAAGAAGAGCTCAAATTATACACCTGTCATCACAATTTTAGGTAAAAAAGTTTTTCGTGTAGGCTTTGTGAAATAATACAAAAACAAAGCTCTAGGAAAATTCAGTTCTTTTAACAGGGTTGTCACTTAATTTTGAAGTAGATGCTGAGTCGAATCTAGAAGTTTTTCCTTGATCACTATCATCTTCTCAGGTGCAACTTGAGTTTGATGAGTTTGACAGAAAAAACCAGCTCGTTAAAGCTGACTACAAGGATTTGCTGGCCATCAGCGGCTAACTCTCACACACAACCTTGAATAAGACCCTTGTACTGCATCAATCTTGAACGTAACTGTAAGTTTTGAGTCACAGATACAGTTCTGTTAAGAGATAGTTTTAACTATCTCTTAACAATCTTCGATGCACTAGAGCTTAAGGTGGTTTAATAATCAGTAATATTTTCCCTTCTTCCAGGATGCGACAGGCTCCAAAGCTGTGGAAGAAGATGGTGGAAAAGCAACTGAAAACGCAAAAACAAAGTCTGCACCGGGGAGAGAGACAAGGAAGTCAATATCAATAAAGTCTGAGAAAAAGTCAATCAAAAGAAATTGCACAAGTGGTGAGTGTATTGCCTTGTAAAGGTTTTATTAGATTTCCAACATGAAGGGATTATAATAAGTTGGTGTGACTGGCAAGGGGTTACGGGGTCTAAAGGGTATTTGCAAACCAGGTTTTTTTTCTTCCCGTAAACTGCTCTTGTTCTTAGTGTTTCCCACTAATATCACGACCTCTAGAAGACTAGTAATAGTGCAAAATAAAGGACGTTTACGTTAAGATTGCATCCCAAAACGCCTAATATAGAGTATAGTTTGAATGTATGTTTCCTTATATTTTGAGAACAAGTTATACACGGACGAAACATCCTGTTAGTTGTTGGTGAATTATTTATGTCATTTGTGTTGGCTGAACTGGCTCGTAGTTACAGGTAGCACTACAAGAAGATCTCATTTTAGTTTTGTAGCATGGAGAGATAAGTGCTAATGTTAATGCCCAAAAGGAAGCTTGATGGAATGCTGGGGGGTGGGTAACCTTGCGATGGACTGGCATCCCATCCAGGGAGGAGTAGTAATACTCACAGTCGCTTCATGCTTTGGAAACCGGGTAAGGTTCGGCTGTGGGTGGGCCACTGGGCTCGGGTAAAGACTTTCCCTACCTACCTACCTACCTACCTAGTGTCCAAAAGTGTTTGCTATCAAAAAATGAACCTATAAACTCTCTAATATTCTAATATTCCTAGATTCACTCGTAGCTGAGATCAATCCTCCGAATCAAAGGCGAGGCTCAGAAATGATTCTAAGAGAGGCGTTACGGCGAGACAGTTCCCGCGACAGTATTTCTGGCATCAAACCACTTCAGTCAAAGAAGAGCGGCAATCTGCATACCATGACTAGTCGTTCCCTTTCACTCCAAGCAGCCCCTGTCACAGTAGAGAGAGGACCTTTTGCAAAAAGATCAAGGAGTACTAAAAAACGAGAAGGCAAGACGCAGTCTCTTATCTGTTTTACTGTTGAAGGTAAGTACCTGAAGGATCTCATGTGGGCGAGGACTGTTCAAGGGGCCATATTTACGGACCTATCTCTTTGAGGACTTAACTTTTACGGACTTACCTTTTCACGGACCTGTCTGGTTTTTTTTTTTTTTTTTTTTTTTTTCTGATTTGAAACCATTGGGACAAGACATTTTGAAACTTTTCCGCTGTTTTCTTACTCAAATTTCGTTTGTTTTGACCTGTTGTCATATCCGGCTGAGAAAATATTCCTAAGACCAGAGAATTTATGGAAGTTATACTAGCAAACAAGCTCCCCCCGGTAAGGGGATGACATTCAGTTTTAGACCATGCAAGTCAATTATTACCCATACGCATAAAACAAACAAATTCCTTCACTTGCCTTAAAAACTATGGTGACAAGTATTAAAAATGCTCTTTTTAAAAATTTTCTCTCGCGTCGTTCAAAACACTGGAGTTTCAAATTGTAACAAGCAAAGTTTTCAAAATTAATGTTTAACACCCCTATGGGGCTTAAACCATTTAAACAAAAGAAAAATAACCATTGAGTGAGTATGATATTGCTTTAATCAGAAGGCCTTGAACCAGTCTTTTTTCAATAAATCTGATAAATGCGAGGCCTCAAATCCACATGGGAACCATCGGGTAGGTAGATTCAGTATTTATTTTATTTATTATTTATTAACTGCTAATTATTATAAGGTGTGTTTCTAACAGTTGATATATATAACTTTAACCTTTTTTTTTTTTTCATGTAATGACCAGCAAACTTACATTTCGGACTATGTATATCATGAGTTAGTTTATAAAGTTGAGTTGTACTTTGACTAACTGGTCACTGAGATGAAGTTAACCGATAAGAGCGTTTTTCGATTGAGTGTCGCAAAACTTAACAGCCAATCAAAAGAAAGGAAAGTACTTTTAAGAGCCAATGAGAAGTCACAGTGAAAACAACCAAACTACGCAAAGCGCGAGAAAACGCGGGCGACCAAGTCGTGCTGGGTTTTAAGTTGGCATCTGATTGGCTGAGAGAGTGGCACGAGTTTTCTGGACCAATCACAGAGCGAAGTGAAGCAAAACAAATGTAGTCTCAGAGTACCTTCGATACTCAATTGAAAGTTGCTCTATTTCTGGTAGTGAGTGATATGTTAATGCATGTAAATTTCATTCTAAAATTATCACCTCCAAGCACAGAATGATTTAACCTGTTCCCACTTGAATATTTTTAACATTTCAAAACTAATAATTCTTGTCTCAATAAATAGATGATGTTGATGATCTTAATGATAATGATAATAACAATAATAATAATAACATTGACGATTGGTGTAATCTTGATTTTTCTAATACTGCACTTGCACTTACAGATGAGAAATCTGCACTAACATCATTAGAGATAGACCATTATATTTCTGAGGGCAGTTCGGCATTCTTTCCTTGGGAGAATATAGATGATTTCTTCTTGAGTTGAAAAATTAATTAACAAATCGACAGTGGCTTTGCATGGTGTGTACTCCTATGGACACCAATATTCGTCATCATAGGGATCAAAATGTTGTGGACTCACAAAGCGCAACCGACTGAGTCCTCATCAAATTTTGACCACTGCCATGACGAAAATCATTGTTGATAAGAGTACAGACTACGCTGTCAGTTTGTTTTTTACCAAAACATCGACGTCAAATAGAACGATTCTTTCAGAGCATAACACGTGGCGAGACACGTTGACGCGAGCGGCATTGTTTGTACTCTTACCGACAACGGCAAATTGGCCTCTAAGATTGCGACATTACTGCCAATTGTGATCAAACAGCTGTTTATTCTCTCTTTCCTCCCCTTTTTTATGCTTTGAGCGTTTGCAAGAAATTTTTTAAATTGAAATAAGAAAGAAATTCCATCGTTGTCAACACTTTCTTACTTGATAGCCCTTTGATGAGCAATTGTTTGGTAGTTGTCCTACTCCTTCCTCCCCACCTCTCACCGCCTTCAAAGATATAATGGCCCATCCCTTACCGTTATATATGCAGGATATTATTCGCATTCTAAATTCAGGATAATGTTTGTTTTCAGGGAGTAGTATAAGGGAAGAAAACATGGCATTCCGACATTTTTGTAGGTGCACATTTATTTTTGAATAAACCAATTTGTTCCTCATTATCACCTGTGCCACAAGTAGAGCTCTTTTTGTCTGATTGTCCAAAGTAATCACAACAGCGAATCAGAAGAAAGAAATAAATCCTTTAAGAGCCAATGAGAACTCAAAGTTAAAACAAACAAGCTGCCTAAAGCGCGGGAAAACATGAGTTACCAAGTTGCGATTGGTTTTGGTTTTGCATCTGATTGGTTGACAGAGTGGTAGAATTTTTCCGGACCAATCAGAGCGAAGTAAAGCAAAACCAGTACAATCTCGGATGACTTTCGACATTCAATTAAAAAGTGCTCTATATAATTTACCCCTTGAAACGTCATTTAGCCATGATAAATCGCATGAAACCTATTTACAAGTTTGTTTAACCTTTCCAGTAACTTTACTTTGGAACACACTTGTAACCTTTATGTTGAACTCAGGCTAAATAACGGTATTGACTGTTTGGTGTGTGCAAAATTTCGGGTGTCACTGGTTTATATTTCAATTAGATACGTTCAAGTATGTAAAAGGTGACCCATCAGAGTGCACTCGAAACAAATGTTGCACAACCAAAGTTGATAAAATATGAAATCTTGTGTGAAATATCGGTCTTTCATGGTAGGTTCATCAACATGCATAATATAACCGTAACGTGAAATTATAGGCTTATTTTGCCTCCATGGCTGCCCATTCTTGAGAAGACGATCTTGTGTCTTACTGAATCATTATGTTCTTTAACAATTGCTAAATAATAACAATCAGTAAAGGTTTGATTGCCTTGTAAATGTCCATAATGCAAAATGAGAATTAGTGAAACGGGCTTTGAAAATCGTAATTTCAAACACTGAAAATTTCTTGTATCAACACTTACTCTGCGAAGTACAGTCGACAGGCGAGTCACTTCAAAACTGCTCTTTAACAAACCATTCCATCTGTACTTTTTCACTACATCATTTTGATTATAATACCAATTAAAACCATTTGGAATTTATGCAAGTCGTTCCAACATGTTCCCATAACTTGTACCTCAGTGTGTCATACCCTTTATCTCTTTTTAACCAAATTCTGCAATTTGGTTGTAACAATGTTGATAGCCTAAGGCTATTCGATGAGCCTTTTTGGAAGATTTTCGTTCCTTACCGACACACAGGCGTAAATGCAACAATGTTTTACATCAGATACAATGAAATATATGA